TGAGGATATGGACATAAATGAAAACCAATTATTCTTTTTTGTAAAACCCAATCGTCATCAACGTAGTGCGCTGTGACACATAAATATCTAGTTTTATTACACCCCTCCTACAGATCAGAAGTGCAAGACACAGTAGCATTAAAAGTCCTAAAATTATCAACAAGAGATTGTCTCATTGCATAAAAAACTTTCATGCAATCAGAACGAGTTGTGTTTCTACTTACCCGTTTAAATTGTGGGCAAAAGGCTGTCTGGATGAATTCTTCGAAGGAGGCATCATCTGCAAAAGAAAGAGGCAATTCGGCACTAGCTAGAAATTTGGCTAGTGCCTCACGAGCACGTTATGCATCGTATGTAAAATTTTATAACCCATGTGATGTGAGTGATAGTGTTTGTTGGCGGGAGTCCACACTCTCACCTTGGTGCAACAGTAGACATACTTTCCAATGTCTATCCAGATGACCAGTACCCCCACCTTTTTTTTATTAGAAAAGTGCTTTTTACAATATTTACATACCGCACAAATTTTCATCTCACATGTTTTTGGATTTGGTCGGGGCTCCTCGGTGAAATGATGCCATGCCGGAGAAGTTTGCGGTCTTTTTCCTCTGCTGCGTTCTCTAGCTTCCTCGTTGTGTACTAAAGCATTATCCACCGGAGCATTTTCTGGTTCAGTGGGGGTGGGCTTGGAAGGCATCATTTCTTCCTCAAAAAATGTCTCCTCACCAAGCTCAGGAAGAGCAGTGAAATCAGGAAAGTTTAGTGAGGCCATTTTCTGGAAATGATAGAACTTGATTGAACTTTGTAAATGAAAGAGCTAGAAAATGAATGAACGCGAGAAAAAAGCTTAGAATCAAAATCATAGAGACAAGTTGAGAGATAGAATGAGAGTGAGATGAGAAGATGAGAGTGAATTATTATGTGGGATTTATGGTGGAATTAAGGGATATTTATAGGGGATTTTAGGGTTGAAATTCAATTTTTTTCCATTGGGCCCTTTGCGGGCCCAACGTGCGGCACATGACGGGCCTCCCGTTTGGCCCATCACGTGCCAAACGGGAGGCACGTGATGGGCCAAACGGGAGGCCCGTCACGTGCCGAACGTTGGGCCTGCGAAGGGCCCCCTGGGCCAAATGAAATGGGCTTCTTCGGGGGTCGTTTCGCGGGCTTGGGCCGGGCCAAATAAGGGCCGTGCCGCGGGCCTCCACGTACTTGGGCCGTACTTGGGCCGTAGGCTGAGAAGTTGAGGCCCAGCCCTAGTCCATTACACGTGCCGTGCCGGCACGGCCCGTAACAGTAACAAACTGGGCCGTGCCGAATCAGGCACTATTACGGGCTGGGTCGGGCCGTCCATGGACAGCCCGGCCCATTTGACACCTCTACCCCAACCCAGCCAAACCTGTTGAAAAAGCAGGTAAAATAATGCCTAACCCTAATGTTTCTCACTCCTTCTCAAAGGTAATCTTACTGAGCCAGCTTGGTAATCTGTTTTTTTTTTCCAGCTTTAACGTAAAGGGTAACAAAACAAAATTTCAAAACTGAGAATGGGCCAGGCTTAATAGAAGGCCAACATGCCTTGAGATTAGCTCAACCCCGAGTATCTTGCTGAGCCAACCTTACCTAAGGTAACCTGATGGTGTACGGGTTTTTGGGCCCTATGGCCTGGCAAATCCTCAGCCTGATTTTTGTAGCTCGGCTCAAATTTCGGCCACACCTGAGCCTACCCAACTGATTTACACCCTTAATCGCAAGAGATTGATGGATGCCGATTATTTTAAATTTATTGTAGTTTATCTATGTGGACGTTTTGTCGTTTGCATTCTTAATTTATTGTCGTTTACATAAAATGACAAACGGTTTCTATTCGATCCATCAAATAAACGACGTGTCGCTAAATTTATGCAAACAAGTTGTTTTTATTTGATGTTGCTAAATTTATGTAAACAAGTTGTTCTTAGCATCTGAGTTATATTCCACCGAATTAAAAACTTATGTCACTAAATTCATCTTGTCCGCAAACTTTAACAAACACTAATTACTAATTACTTTTTACACAGGTTTAACTTTTTTCGTTCTATGAACCGGTTTGTTTAAAACTTCGAGAGTACTAAATAGTAAATATAGGAGTAGGGAACTTTCTTTTCTTTTCTTTTCTTAGCTTCGACTATCTTTTTACATTCATATTATCTTCTTTATTATCCCTTTTATTTTTTCGTTCAACTAAAATTTGTAATAGAATTTAATTCACTTATTTAAATGGTCTCAAAGATATAAGTTCACATAGTATATATCTGGTTTTTAATTTATTTGAAGTTCTAATTTGGAATATGATTAGATTTAGAAGTTAAATTTTAAGTATAATTGAAATCTTTTTAAAAATTCTAACTCAATATTAGAATATTTAAGATTTCTAATGAGATCGTCAAACGACACATTTTTCCTTTTTTTTGGAAACGAAGTCAATTATTAAAAAAAAAAAAAAAAGGAAAACGACACGCACGCTATTACCTAATTTCTAAAATTAAATAATTTTAGGATCCGTTTAGTTCGCTGATTTGAGTTTTTAATTCGAGTTAAGATGTAATTTTATGTGAAAATTTTTTACTATAATAAAAAAATTAAATATAATTATTTATGAGAATTTTTTATTATAATAAATTCAAATTCTAAACTCAAATCACTATAAAATGAAGGTACTTTACTTTTTCCCGTACGACAGAAAAACCATAAATTCAATACAATATCATCTTCCCACCAAACGGATAGCCAGTAGTGGCAGTGCGAGTGGATAATCCTCCAATTCCCCCCTCACTCACAGAACCCACTCAGCTCAAGCACACCCGCAGCCTCTCCAATGGCTACCACTGCAACAACAACGGCCCCATCTTCTCTCTCTTTCTTCTCCTCTTCAGTCTTCTTCACCTCCTCCCAACGCCAAACTCTCAAACCATTCCTATCCTTCAAAACACCCAATTCCCTCAAATCCCCAACTCCAAAGCCCCTCTCTATCATCTCCGAGCTCGCGACCCTCCCCGTCCTCTCCTTCACCGGCGAGAAAGTCGGCGAGACTTTTCTCGACCTGAAGTCGGCGCCGCCGGAGACTGCCCGCGCCGTCGTCCACCGAGGCATAATCACCGACCTCCAGAACAAGCGGCGCGGAACCGCGTCGACCCTCACGCGCGGCGAGGTGAGGGGCGGCGGCAGGAAGCCCTACCCTCAGAAGAAGACGGGCCGGGCCAGGAGCGGGTCCATAAGGTCGCCGCTCCGGCCCGGTGGAGGCGTGGTGTTCGGGCCCAAGCCCAGGGACTGGTCCATCAAAATCAACCGGAAGGAGAAGAGGCTGGCGATCTCAACGGCGGTGGCGAGCGCGGCGGTGAACACCATCGTGGTGGAGGATTTCGGGGACAAGTTCGAGAGGCCGAAGACGAAGGAGTTCATCGCTGCGCTCAAGCGGTGGGGGATTGATCCGAAGGAGAAGTCGACGTTCCTGATGATGGATGTGACGGAGAATTTGGTCCTCTCCAGCAGAAATATCGGGACGCTGAAGATTCTGACTCCGAGGACGCTCAACTTGTTCGACATTCTCAACGCCGACAAGCTGGTGCTCACGCCTGGTGCCGTGTATTACTTGAACGAGCGCTACGGCGTTGATTTCGAGGGCGAGAGTGAGGAGGATGATGAGGAATCTGCAGAAGAAGAAGGTGAGAAATTGTGATGATTTCTTTCGAATTTCGGAGCTGTTATCTGAAACTAGTGTGATGTGGTTTTAATTTGTACTTGCTTATAGGTAGATAATTCAGGCTTCTTTTGTCATGTTGATGTTCGGATTTGTTTTTGCTTGAATAATGGTTATGCTTGTTATGGATTATAACATTATACTCTCTTATATGTGCATTGTATTGTTAGTATATGGTAAAATGCTGTTTCCAAGTGTATGATATGTCATATGTGTGTTTGAGATTCTTGTTTTGGTTGCTTTTTATACGGATTTGTAAACTACTTAGAATTCCCCTTGAAAGTTGGAAAGCAGGTTAGACTGCAATTTATGCCTACAGAAAGAGAATTCGTGAAAAGCGATCCATGTGATCATAAAGAAAGGTTAAACCTATACGTCTTTCTAGTGTATGCATGGTTCCTTTCGATTGGAGCCTGTTGCTACCTGGATCAATCAGCCTATTTTAGTTCGTGTTTTCTCATCTGATTTGAGAGAATTCATTAGATCAGAAAGTTGCTTCACAGCAGGCATTTTATCTTTTGCTTGGAGCACATGAATTTTTTTGGATGGTTTTATCATCAAACTCGTATTTTCTGCACCCTGATAATGATGAACTCTAGGAATGATTATAAATGGAGTGCCATGACTAGTAGTAGTATCACATTTGAACATAACTATGCATATTTTGTTCTTTTTTGTCCTAAAAGTATTGTGCAATCTTAACTTGATGGGTAGCAAAAGGTGTATGTGTTATAGTACCCAGACATTGCTGTTATTTTATGTGTTTTCCGACTTATGTTTGTTGACTTCGTGTTTTCCTCTTACAGGAACTGTTGATGAGAATCCTAGTTCAGCAGAATGATACTTGAGAGCGTAGGGGGCAGTCTTGTAACTGTTTTTATTCTTTTTTCTTGACAAACTTAGGATTCATCTGGATCCATAACTTCAGATGAGCCTGAAAGGGATCTCTGCCTTTGGCTGAATTTACGAGCATGGAGTGTTGCAATTGCAACTTTGTGCGATGTCAGCGTAGTTTTGGTGTATTTTGGTGCATTCTTTTTTTGTATCAATTTGCAGATTGTCTTTAATAGAAATGTAATTAGTTGGACCATCTCTCCATTTGGTTGCAGGCCATATATAGTTGTTTGACTGAGTTTGACTTGTCATTAAGGTGGAAAAATAAAACGATAAGGAGAGGGGAAAAAACGAAACCGCTTCTACTGGCTGACCACTTTTGTGCTTATGTTTTAGTAACGAAGGATAAAATATGTTGATGTTTCACAGAGGAGTTGCATCTTACAGTTTCCACCAGTTTTTAAATCAGAAAATAGAGACAGGAAGCTTAGTTTGTCTGCATAAGTTTCTAAAGAAATAAAATATTCGATTTGAGATTACACTTGATAAAGATGATTTCAAGGTGTTTAGAACCAAACCAAATGTGAAACTGAAAAATACGAACAGGTTGAAAGCTAGTGAATTGAAGAGAAATATGAATATGAAATGAAAAGATAAATTGTAACTTCAGAAGGAAATGGTAATAGCAAAAGGCTTCATTACAGTGTGCCTGCATTTGGATCGAGTTTCCAGTTCCAGTGTCTTTCGATCTCTACACGGTCCTTGCAGTTGTGTAAACCAACTGATGCAGAGTATTCACTATGGTCTAATGATTGTGGTCTATTTTATTATATGTAATGTCGTTTGGTATCCTTTTATTAGCTCTTATGTCGTTTTGGTTGTTTGTTTATTCTCTTGTGAAGCCTTAAAAGGCTGTATCTGTATTGAGGGAAGCAGGTTTTGATCATCTGAATAGAAATTAGAGAGATCTTTCCCTTGTTCCTTTGTTTTAGGTAGATTTAGAACCCCGATTCCTTCCTCCGCCTGGGTTCCTCTGTCCGGGTTTGGCCGATAGAACCTATCCCCTGTTATGTCACCAACCTTTTCGTTTCTGTAGAGCGCAGGGTGAATATTTTTCTGCCTTTGCACTGTTCTTGGTTTCTACTCTATGTAACCTTCTCTTGGATGAAACGCGCTCCAATTCACGTAGTTTTCGTGTGTCTTAGATTAGACTAGATGCCGAATCTTTGCCGTTGAATCTCATTGCGCGCTAGTTTATTAGTGTTAACCTTATCTTCCACTTTTTCTATGCAACCTCCCCGAAACGGTCTTAAGAATGCTAAGATCTTGAACAAAGGCTATGACTGGATGATGCAAGTGGAGCAACCAAAAAAAAAAAAAAAAAAAACTCCTAAGAACTTCATTTAGTATCTAGCTGTTAAGAAATACATCTCTAGCTTACAAAGAATGAGGAAAAGAAAAAGAAAAAGTCCAGATATTTTCATTTGAAGAAGCAAGCATCTCTCTCCAACAAATCCTTCTAGCAAAATCAATTTCATTTTATTTTGGACTGTTAAATGCTTTTAATATCCGCGTTAGTATCCAGTCCAGGTATATCCGTCAGAATTAATGCCAACTTGGAGAAGATAAAAAAGAAACAAAGACAATCATAGAGTCGGGACATTTCATCTTTCCTGTTTTAGTAGAGCTTCTTACTCTTAAAGCACAGAAGAATCGAAGAATTTGCCGGCTCATTACTAAGTAGCCAATATAGACAGACATAGGTGGCCGTAACACAAACTATCTGGTAGCCTGGAGCATAGATCAAAAGCTCTCTCCCTGTGCAAGCACACACAACAAAACAGGAAGAGAAATGCACACTCCCTACGCAGGCATTATCCTGTTCAGGTTCAAAGGGACTGTCTCAGCCTGGCCTGCCTGCGTTCCGGCCAATATGCCGGTGCAAAGCAGAGCACAGGCACCCCTGGTGCGTCTCTCATGTCAGCAGTATGAAGAAGTAAACATAAAGAGGAACAACAGAACAAGAGCATTTTATTACTGACGCATAAGGAACGTAGAACAGAAATGTCTTAAAGTCTTAAACACCAAACTAAGTTCTATACCATAGCATGAAAACTAAAACACCCAGTATAACAATCTCGATATGCCAAAGATGCTCTTATTTGGTCCAATGTTGTCAAGGTTTTCCTGCTCAGTTTCATATGTTCCTGCAAGATACAAACCCACGAGATTATCCACCTCTAAAGAGAAAAAGGAAAAACTTGAAGCAATGCAAGCTATGAGAATGCTTTCGATGCCAGCATTACTGTGATGAACAAAATCATTAATCATATACCATTTTTACCAAACAGCAGGTGCAGAAACAGCAAACCAACCCTTGTCAAATAAAAATTACTAATTCTTTGATCATGTCTTCCATCTTTTTGGTTCTCAAATTACGTATTTCCAGAATTTTATTTACAATTTATATCGATTAGTCATCTGAAATTTCTTTGTTTTTTGTAATAAAGAGCAGGTCCGCTTTACAAATCGATTATACAGAACCTCGTTAATAAATAGACACAAAAACACTGACCTTCACCTCTCTAAATTGTTCACATAACTCGTTGGTAAGTAGATTTCTCCACCAACTTCACCATGTTGTTCCCCACTAATAGTTTTCTTAGCAGACAAAAACTCAGCACTCATAGCATCCATTCCACGCTGCACTGCTTCTTCAGTCCCATAGCCATGCTCCTCCGCATACTTCCGCACATCCTCTGTTATCTTCATAGAGCAGAACTTTGGCCCACACATAGAGCAGAAATGTGCTACCTTAGCACCTTCTGATGGCAAGGTCTCATCATGGAAGGACATAGCAGTCATTGGATCAAGTGACAACGCAAACTGGTCCAACCACCGGAACTCAAATCTTGCCTTGCTCAATGCATCGTCCCAGGCTTGAGCATGTGGGTGAACTTTGGCTAGATCAGCTGCATGAGCAGAAATCTTATATGCTATAACTCCAGCCTTGACATCATCTCGGTTTGGCAACCCAAGGTGCTCTTTGGGAGTCACATAACAGAGAAGTGCTGTGCCCAGGGCTCCAATATTGGCCGCACCGATGGCAGAGGTAATGTGATCATATCCAGGAGCAATGTCCGTTGTCAAAGGACCTAGAGTGTAGAAAGGTGCTTCATTACACCACTCCAGCTGTTTCTGCATGTTTTCAGGAATCTTATGCATTGGAATATGACCGGGCCCTTCGTTCATTACCTGAAATTTCAAATGTTCAATCAAATACTTAACCAAAAACTTGTGCAGCCAATAGAAAATAAGTTTTCAAAGCGAAGTATATTGTTGAAAATATACCTGCACCTGGCTACCAAATAAGTTTTTATTTAATTCTTTACCTGAACATCCTTTTCCCATGCTCCGCGGGTCAGTTCTCCCTGAGTTAGAAGCTCTGCAAATTGAGCAGTGTCATTGGCATCATAAATGGACCCAGGTCTCAGCCCATCACCTATTGACAAGGCCACGTCATACTGATTACAGATATCAAGTATTTCATCCCAATGCTCATAAGCGAAGTTCTCTTTGTGGTAAGCTAGACACCATTTCGCATGGATGGAACCTCCACGTGAGACAATTCCTGTCATACGCTTTGCAGTTAATGGGATGTAACGAAGTAGAACTCCAGCATGGATGGTGAAGTAATCAACACCCTGCTCAGCTTGTTCAATCAGGGTGTCTCTGAACACTTCCCAGTTAAGATTTTCCGCTATTCCATTCACTTTTTCAAGTGCTTGATAAATTGGTACAGTCCCTACTGGTACAGAAGAGTTCCTTAGGATCCACTCACGGGTCTCATGGATATGGCGACCTGTGGAGAGATCCATGACGGTGTCGGCACCCCACATGGTTGCCCACTGGACCTTGTACACTTCCTCCTCGATAGAGCTTGCAACCGCAGAATTACCAATATTTGCATTAACTTTGACCAAAAAGTTTCTTCCAACTATCATCGGCTCCAGCTCCAAGTGCTTCTTGTTGGAAGGGATGATTGCTCGTCCACGAGCAACTTCTGACCTCACAAACTCAGGATCAAGCTTCTCCCGAGTGGCACAGTACAACATTTCCTCAGTTATGATGCCTTGCTTAGCATAGTACATCTGTGTGTATCTTGGTGCACCCAATTTTTCCCGTCGGTCAATCCAATCTTTGCGCAGTTTAGGGAGGCCTATTTGACAAGGCGAACCAAGTAAACTAAGTGTAAACTGAATTCAGAAGCCAGATGGGTCATTATTCATAACTAAATGAAAAACACGTGTGATCTATAAACGCAATTCTACTATATAAAGACTGAAAAAGGAGGAAAGTATAAATATAAACCAACTAAGCTACAATATATTAGAAATGAATAATTTAAAAGTAGTATCTGCTAACTCTGTTTTAGAAAGTAATAAAGTTAAAGCTGCAAACCAGAATGTCAACAAGTCATTATGTTAATTCTGGATAAGTGCTTAACATTTTGTGTGATAAACTAATGACTTCCACACAAACAGTTACAGATGGAATGGAATATGCATAGAAGACATGTTTGTTTAGCAGTTAGTGTTCACCAGCACAAAAGGAACCAAAGACTTAATTAAGTAAACAAGATCCACATACCAAGGCGTGGGTTAATGTTTTGAGGACCAGTGGTATCATAGGTGTCAAAATGTGGTTCATCTCCAGATAGATGGACTCGTCGAAATGGAACTTTGAGTACATGACCAGACTGTTCATGAAAAACTTCCCTGTTTCACAGATAATGCATTAGTTAACCGTGAACATAAAAATCCGAGTTATCTTCGAGTTAGTATCATAAGAGACAAGACATTTAACAAATTGAATGAAGTATACCAAAGTAAACGAGAGGTTTTAAGAGTTACTTTCTTTTTTTTTTTCCTTGGTGCTTTGAAGAAATTAACAATTTATGCATGAATAAGTAAAGCTGTCAGCATGTAAAGAAAGAAAGGCGAAGCACCTTTGTTCTTTCGTGCTCCTTGGAAAACATTGTTCAAAGGATGGAAGTGGCAGAAAATCAGGCGAAGCAGGATCCACTGTGTGCTTCCTTTGTTTGACATTTTCGGCGTTGGTTGTCGGGGGATCAAAGGTTAACGTGGCTCTGGGGCCTGAGCTCATGGGAGTGGTGCATGTTTCCTTTTTGTATGGACTTGAAACACGTCCCACAAAATCAAAGCCAGGCAAGAAGGCAGTACTTGGGAACTTTGGCGGAGATGAGTGATTTCCATTTTTGAACACAGCCGGTGTCAGGGTACTATGAACAGATGCCATATCTGAATTGAGAAAACTATTCAGAGATTATACACCGTTTAACAAGGTTCATCAAGTTTTGATCGGTCATATTATACTACTGAATCATACACCAAGTTCGTGTCCTAGAATTTGGCATAATAATAGATCTCAAGCAAAACGAGAAACAGACCAAATGGAAACTATTAGAAAGTTTTTATTTCACATTTACCTGGCCAGTCCCCAAGACATGATATTTTCGTATCTAAAGCGTTTAAAATGTTTCCAACATATTTTGATTTACCAAACAAATTAAAGGTGATAATGAAAAATCATAGCACTTTGAAACGCAACAAACCAAAGTTGCCCAGATCACCATACACACAGACAAAGTTGATAGATGACAAATTTCGCTAGCTACCAAGTGATGTTTAGAGGAAAATGATACATGTAATTCCTTGTATAGCACAAACAAAATTATAAGCTTAAAATCTTGGAATAAAGTTTAAAAGAAAATTTTCACATGCTTTTAGCACTATAACCTTTTCTTTTCCCCCCTAACTTCTATAGATAAATACACAGAATTTAAACTTGATAACTCAATCATTGAAATGTAAGATAAATGATAAGAAGCTGCAAAACGATTAAAAAATATATATATCTCATCATCGTCGTAAGACAAAATCATATAAAAATTTGTTTGACCTTCAGCGTAAGAAACTCGGAGAATAGAGAGAAAACCATATAAGATTTTAATGACGAATAATTAAGAATAAAATAGTAAAGTTATAAAAACACAAGCTTTACGCTATGTTTGGTAGCTCACAAAACGCGAGAGTTTACATAACGAAATCGAAACGAAAATCCGGTTAGATGACCTATTCGACGATCGTTTACACATCTTAGAAGAGAACCAGCATAAAAACTTGGAAAAAAATGATCACTTCACATCCTTCACATATTTTCCTCGTTTTTCCGGGCAACCAAACAGTACAGAAAAATGAGAAATTCTCGGTACACGAGAAACACAGTGAAAAGAAGAGCTTACAGGATTAAGGAAACAGCGTAGGTGCAATGTTAGGGTTTGGAGAGAGAGAGAGAGAGAGGGAGAGAGAGAGAGAGAGAGAGAGGGAGTGAGAGAGGGAGAGACGGAGAGCGAGAGAGATGATGATGACGAACCTGGTACAGAAAGGACTGAGTCTTATCTTCGCTTACGCTCTCTCAGTGAAACGTTGAGTCGTTGAGTGACAAGTGCTTGAAGAAGAGTGAAAGAGTTTTTGGATTTTATAGGCATAGAAAGACGTCCCTTCAGGCTGATCTAAAAAAGGAGCCAAAAAGTGTTTGCTAACGTGGCTTTCATGATTCCCGATTAGATATTTTTATTAGTATTGTTTCTTCCTTGCTGTCTTTCCAAAAAGAGGAAAAATAAACTCCATCAAAAGAAAAGAGGAAAAAAAAAACAAAAATAAAAATTACGTTTTTTTTTTTTTTTTTTTTTTTTTTTTTTTTTTTTTTTTTAATAAATTTCAAGATGAACCCTTCTGATTCTGAATCCTGATACTAATCGAATTACGCTCATTTAAAATACTCTTATCGAGTATCTATTGACTATTTGATAGGAAATTAATAATGAAATATCATATTTTTATGCATTAAAAAAATCATATTTTTAACATCAAATTGCGCTTTGTAAAATTGAGGAGCCACGTACTATTTGGTGGTCTTTATATTTACATTTCACGTAAATTTATCTGCTTAAAAAAAAGAATTTGTCAAAATGGGGACATCTTTCAACCTGTTCATATTGTAAATTGATTAAAAACGTAAATTTATGTGTGCTCTTTCTACGATTTTGTTCCAGTAAGGTATAAATAAAGACAATTTGTAAATCGAGACTATAATATTAAGTCATTATAAAATGGCAAATACGTACCAAAACAATTTTAAAAAAATGTGTTCATATTGTAAATTGCTTATCACATAATGACAAACTATATAGCAACCTTTTGGATGATGGGAGAAGTTGAGCTGCATCATATGTTTTGGTCGAAAATTTGATGCATTGCAAAAGCTGAGTTGTGACCTTATCTCGTGACAAGTATACAGTTGGCTAGCTTATAATAGTAAATTACTAATTGCCCAATATTTGTTCCCACCATGTAAGACTTTTTTTTTTTTTCAAAAAAATATTATTTTAATCTTTTGTAAAGTGAAATATTATTATCAATGGGCGAGTCTCTCTATTAAATCTCTTGAAAACAAATCGAACATGGAATTTTGGGGCAAAGAAATCATTTCCTTGCATGGCTCATATTCTTTGGCGATTTCACGGTTTCCGTAACACTTCCAATAAAATAAAGTTTTTTTTTTTTTTTCCCCCCTCCTTTCACAAGTCTACCAATTACTATGCAAAGTAGTATTTTACAAAGAACAGTACTACAAATTGTGACTAGTTGTTTGATAATTATACATGATACAGTTTATTATACATTAGAGATTACAGATAGTGGCATAGTATACGGTATTATTGTTGTAACAAAAACCACTTATGGAGACTTGACTGTTTCACCACTTTACAAGTCACAACCCAGTCTCAGTAGGGGAGAAGAATCCAAGTTCTTACGACCCAATAATATCATTAAAAGACACTGAAATTTCTGAAAGCAACGGAACCACACGGGATTCTGCGGTCCTTACGAAGGCAGGCACACAAGTTAAAGCAGGATTTGTTATTTTCCGAAGGCAATGGACGAAAGTCTTGGTTGCTTTCAGAAAGCAACGCTGATATTTTGTTCCCTCCCCAAAAATATCAACTGCAACCCATACTAACGAAACTGCAACACTGATAATGTACCGTGCAGTCCAATCTCAACCATTAGTGATGAAAAGAAACCATCTGAATTGTAGATCATTTCTTTCAATCCAGTAACTAAAATTTATAGTGTCACTAACAGCTTATCCTGACCTTGTCATATATAGAGTGTCACTGGAAAGGGTATCTTTAGAACAAAATCTAATGATACAGTATGCAGACCATTAATATGGACTATTGAACCCAACGTGTGGAGTATGTTATATTTCACAAATAATATAGTGTAGTATACAACTGAATAACAATTACAATTGTATACAGCCGGACCCGAGTTTTGTAATAGCAACTATACAGCAGAATTCAAAAAACCAACCCACACGTATCAAACACTTGAGAGGGCTGCTGCCAGTACTTACCTTTTAACTTCTTCCCGTCGTCTCATTTGTTGGATTGGAAAATGTGGGATAAAGAAAGAGTTGGTGTTAAGAAATGGAACCCAAATTTCACTATAGTGAGATATACAAAAGCTGTATGGGTGAGTTGACGGATGCCGATCAAGAAGACAAGCTCACTGACGGGCCTTGTTGCATTAGTCCATTTTTAACCTAAAAACAGATTAAGGGAAGGTCGTAATCCCAGGTCCTGTCTGCACTGGAAGAAGAGACTCTTGCTTGCCTCTAACGAATATTGACAACTCTGTAGGTGCAACCACCAACTTTAGCCACTCTTGCAGCTCCTCACCTTCCACTTTCTCTTTCTCTGAAGAAGAAAAACTAATCAGAACACCACGTGCAATAACTTTTCAGAAGTATATAGAGGACTTCTTGCACATCATCAGCTCAAAATAAACCAAGTGAAAAAAATAGCAAATTGCTGTAGTAATTAGCAATTGTGAGAGTCTCCAAGTCCAATCAAGTAATACACGCTCATTCTCATATAAGTGAAATAACGAAACCTTAATCTATAACCTGCCAAAGACAAGCATAAAACTCACTTCCACGTACTTACTTGACAGATAACAGCCACAGTCCATTACTACCAGTACGCAAGTATATCCTTTGCAAAGCAAGATGGTAAGATGTAAAGAATATAAAGGTCTTGTCATCAATACCTTAACAACATGTACGCTGAATAAAAAGTTAAACACTTCTTAGAGGATGCCCATTATAAAAAATTATCAACCAAATCAAGTTTCCATTCATGAATTGGGGTTGTGAACCTCAAATCCTGTTTGCAAAATTGGTGTAACTATAATGTCCACCACCTTTGTTGCTGCAAAGACCCTTTGGTCAGTATAGCAGTTTCATTTTTGTTTTCTAGCTATTTGTTGGTCTGGTCTTGTAAGAAAAATAAAAGGAGAAAAATATCAGAGCAGTACTGCATCACCTTCTAATTGAGCGCCAAGCCCCTCCAAAACAGTAGGATTAGCACGTACTACAGAAAGAGCAACCTCCAAAGCAGATTGCAAAAGAGCTTTCACCTCTCCTTGAACCAGATCAACAAGATGTCCCTGTTGTTGTCAGCCTTGGATCAGTACACAAATACATGTACACATATATATATGTATCGAAGAATCTTGTATCAATATTTACAGCAAATCGGTAACAGAAAATAAAAATAACAACAAAAGAAAACACAGGACCTGATCCCTCCCCCAAGGAAGACCTCCCCCAGAGTCATCCATTCCACCACCTGATAGTGTGGCTATAGAAACAGGGCCAATGGTCTTATTAAGACCATACTCAGCTACTGCCTTGTATGCCATGTCAGTCGCACGTCTAATATCATCAAGTGCACCTGTTGACACACGACCTGAATAGACAACTTCTTCTGCTGCACGTCCACCAAGAAGAGTAACCAAGCGGCCACGTAGCTCGTCAATGAAAAGTAAATATCTGTCTTCATTAGTTGGTGGAATATAAGTAAACCCCAAGGCACCACCTGACCTTGGCAATATGCTCAACTTCTGATAAAACAGACAGACAACAATAAATATACATGTCAATAACTGTGTAAATTATCTTATAATGGCACGAGCTTGACAATTAACCTTTATAACAATAAGCATTCTGCAACCTTAAAAAAATAATAATAAAAAAAATTTCTGCATTTAGCAAAGAGGGAAAAAAATGCTAGGAATTCTGGTTGTTCACACTCAAAAATGTCTCTGTGCGAAATAGACTCCAGTATATATCAATTTTTTTCTTCCTTTCATAAGAAAATATATAAAATCCTTTGCAGTCGAGGATAAATCAAGGGTCCCAATAACACACTTCTTCCGCGTTTCATACAACAAGCAATACAACCAAATGTGCATTTCGTAGATAGAAGGTGGACTGCTAAAAGAACTAAATCAATTAATCAGCTTTCTTTGCTTAGACCCTGAAATTCTTTTAAGTTAAGATTAGAACATCAAACTAAGATCTCAGCCACAGCGTATGTTACAAAGCCAACTTCCTCTTCAGATTATATTCAGCACAAATGATCAAACATTCACCTCTACACGTGGTTGTCCAGGAAGAAGATTTGCAACAGCAGTCCCTACTAGGGCATGACCAGCTTCATGTCTTGCAACTACAGCCTTCTCACTTCCCTTCAATTTGGCAGTCTTCTTCTCTATTCCCTATAAAATAGTATTTTGTTTCAGTTTTTCTTCAAGTTAATAAAAAATAAAAACAGCACCTCAAAACACAGGTTACAGAAAACCAAGAACCAAGACGCCAAAAGAATGTACATTGCATTTAAACCTTCGGTCATTACACATTCAAACATCCTAATTTAGAATATAAAAATAAAGGCACAAAATGCTTAGCTAAATCATTACGAACATGAAAAGGCAAGTGCACCATAAAAGGTACCTAAATCAAATCTATATATCTCGGCTGGAATAATGTAGGAAACAGAAGTATAAGGCGCTAATAATGGAGAAGGAGATCAGAAAATAAGGGGGAAAGAAAAAAAGAAGCAAACCTTAGGAGCAGAAATCAGTATGAAATTCAAGTGACAAAAATGAATACATTATCAAACAAATTATTATGCCGTTTTTGACAACAAGGTCTATTAAACTTATACTGGAATATAAAAGGAGTGAATAACATGAAATGTAATCTTAAGACAAGGAGTCACATGATGTCAAATTTGCACATGCAGACACAAATATGCAGAGGCAGAGAGAAAAAGAGAGTTACAGCTATTGATCTTTCAACAGCTTGAATGAAATCAGCCTTCTCCACAACAACTTTGTTCTGTCTTCCAGCCAACAAAGCAGCCTCATTCACCAAATTTGCAAGATCCGCCCTGCAGAATGTATTGAAAAAAGGTTACTAATATAGATATAAACTAAAAAACAGTCAGAAAAAAGTTCTTTAATTTTTAACGTATTTAATCTTAAATGCAGCTCCTGAATGGAAGGAAAAAGGAGTAGTATATATACCCAGTAAAGCCAGTAGTCATCGAAGCAATATGGCTGAGGTCTATATCCTCTCCTAGAGGAAGTTCTTTCTTTGAAACATGCACCTTTAAAATTGCTTCTCTTCCAGTCCTATCAGGTGTCTCCACCTAGAAGCAACAAAAGAAACGGAAAAGAAAAACATGAGTCATTGTTCCCGACAGAAAACAAAAGAAACGGAAAAGAAAAACATGAGTCATTGTTCCCGACAGAAAACAAAAGGAACTCTGAAATCATATTTTTAAAATGCAGAGATTCCCTCTACAGGAGCATTCATTAAAAATATATGTGTGTGCATCCAACAAGCAGAGAGGCATGGAAACCAGAATACCAACCATGACCACGCGATCAAATCTCCCCGGCCGGCGAAGTGCAGGATCCAAGACATCTGAGCGATTAGTTGCACCAAGAACAATCACAGCAGAATTACTGTCAAATCCATCCATCTCCTGCAATCGAGGGCAGATATTTCATCTCAGTACAACCAGCAAACCTTGGCAGTGGGGGACAAATAAAGAAAAAGGTTGCTAGGAAAAAGCTTACTGTGAGCAACTGATTCAAGGTTTGTTCTCGCTCATCGTTGCTGACAATGCGAAACTTACCATCGCGACTTTTTGCAACAGCATCTATCTGTATAAGAAAACGTAATTGGATTTTAATTGAGAACTTCATAGGCTGAACGTCATTATGCAAAATGACATAACCCCATGTTCTGACCTCGTCAATAAATATTATTGATGGTGCTTCCTTCTTTGCACGAGCAAAGAGATCTCTCACACGAGAGGCACCCATACCAACATACAATTCCACAAACTCACTAGCAGAACAACTTATAAAAGGTACGTCAGCTTCTCCAGCCACAGCCTTTGCAAGAAGAGTCTTACCAGTCCCAGGAAGTCCCACCTGTAACATAAACAAACCAAGCTTACAAATTGTACATTGACCCATCGTAAACATTAATAAATGGTCCCTGCTATATGTTATCTATTGAGCAATACGTAATTTCCCAATCTCAAAGCCACGAGGTAAAATGTTCTCAGTAATCTCCAGCTAAAACTCACCAAAAGAACACCACGAGGAGGACGGGCACCAAGTCGTACATACCTATCTGGATTTCGAAGAAATTCCTGGCCAATAAACATTATTGTATAAAAAATTATCCAAATGCCCCGTATAGCAAAAAAGGGAGAAAAAGAAAAACATGGATGGACTGATACAACAGGAAGAAAAAAGAAGGAAAAAAAAGGAAGAAGGTTGAGAAATGTCAAGGTACCACTATTTCTTCAAGCTCCTCCTTAGCCTCATCAACACCGGCAACATCTGCAAAGGTGATTGTTTCTCCTTGTTCAGAGACTTTTGTGCCACCAGAGCCTCCAGATTTGCGGTTTCTAATCTGACCGGCAGTATGCTATGCAGAACCCAATATTCCCTCAGAACCATGACTTTACTTTCAATGCAGACTAAAAAAGAAGAACGCTAACTCATACCTGAGAAAAGCTTACAGGAAAGCGGTGGAGAAGCCCTGCAAGCACAGCAACATAAAACAACGCTATCTGCAAGTGGGAAGGGGCAGCGTGAAGTCAATCCATACAAGGCATCCTTACAAGACAATAGTAAAATATTCTGACGTGGATTATAGCAATCAGTTCTTAACAGTTCATCAATATACCAATCAGTTCAATCCTACATATACTCCTAAACGAGGCAGACTTTATTTTATCGTTGCAATCAAGTTACTGAATGACATCAACTCAAGTAACAACCTTGAAAAACACATTCACAACACAAACCAGCCTGCTCTAGAATAAACATAAAACAATGCTGTCCACAAGTGTATAGGGACAGTATTTAGTCAATATATATAACGCGTCTTTGCAAGAAATTAGAGATCTTCATAGGCAGATTATAGCAATCAGTTCAATCCTACACATGAACCTAAATGCCGCAGCCTCATTTTAGTAATAGCAAACGAGTTACAGAATAAAATCAACTCAAATCACGAACTTGAAAAACACGTTAACAACCAATGTTCAGTACTAGTTGATTCTGTTACTCCACAACACGAAAAACCGAAACCACGGACTTACCAATGCAGAATTCAAGAACCCACCAGACCGCTTATCCGGCGACCCAAACTCGACGTCATTCTCAAGCATCTTCTCGTACGGGGCTTTTATATCACTCGGTCTCGTCGTCGTGTAAACCACCCGCTTCGTCGGAGCCACACTTTTTATCAAAGACTCCGATTCCTGCAACTTACTCGCACCATTCGCTTCAATTTCCTGACCAATTGCCTCGTTCTTCAACTTAAACATGATGTGTACCCCATCAACCTCGACTTTCTGAACCTGGTTGCTGTTAATCTTGCTCAAAAACTCGCTGTACGGAACGCTGACAAAAGTCGTCGGCGTTCTCGGCTCCGAACCGGGCAAAGGAATCCCCGGCCGGAGCAAACGCATGACGAAGATGACGATTCCCAATTGCAGAAGCAAAATCCCGATTTCCTGGGCCTGAACTATCGGCTGCCACCGCCACTTACCTCCTCCTTTGGACGACGACCACCAATTCCCTTTCCCCTGCCTCTCACTCCTCCGATTCGAAGCCGGCGAGCTCGAATTCGGCGACTCTTTGTTCACGCCCTGTCCCTCGCCGGCCTTCGCCTCGCTCTTCTCGCCCGAATCGCTCTCCTGACCGCTCGCCAAGACCCTAATCCTCCTCAATCCTCCATTGCTCCTCGGGCGACCTCTCCAGAGCCCGAATTCGTCCGAAACTCTCACGGGAGCCGAAGGGAACGGCACCGAATTCTGAGCGCGACATCCCGAGTCGCGGTGGAAAACCCTAGATTGAGCTCGGCAGAATCCCAATCCGCGCCAATCGTGAAAATTGGAATTCGAATTCAAATGGAATCTCGTGTAAACCACAGGGCGTAGATAGTCAACCGACGGCATCGCCAAACCTCAACAACAAAAACCAAATTCAAAGAACATATATGTTACAGACAACCTATATCTATCTGTGTGTGTGTGTGTGTATATATGTATATATTTATGTCTATATAACTAGGTCTATGTGGAAACCTTTGAAAAGTAATCTATCATTGGAGTTGGAGTTGAAAATCGGAACACATCTTCAGACAGAGAAGAGAGAGTGATAAAGAGAAGAAATTCAACTTGGTGATATGAACCGTTGGATGAATCACAAGTACGGATCCTAACCGTCAACTTTCCCCTTTCGGGATTATTTCCAAACTTTAACGTTATCTTGCTGGCTGCGGGCGTCTACTTTTCTCTAATAAACTCGTCACTCGTGGAAACTGGAATACAAGAACATGGAAATTATTATATATATTTACTTAACTGCCAAAAGAAAAAAAAAAAATGAAATGGAAATTATGATTGGGTGTGTCGCGGCTCATAGGGATACGTGTTCTGAGGTTGGTTAAATCAACACGTGCATAAATTAGGACCAAGATATAAATTGCGAAGATTTTCGCGGCGGTTAATTGGCAACACACATTTTGGTTTGTCTGTTTGTCCGCGCTCCGCCTGTAGCGCTGAGTCTGACCACTCGCACTCTGATGGATACTAAGGGCCGTAAGTTTAGTGGGCCGAATGTTATAGTAGACCATTTCTTGTTGGGTTTATCTGGACGTCAGAGTAATCTGCTAGATTGGCAATGATAATCTATCAGATGTTGAAATCTAAAGGGACCACCGGCCTCTGTAGGCAAGCAGTCACTAGAATAATCTAATAGATTATTACAAGTAATTACCAGATCGTACCACATTTTCAACACTAACCAGCCGTGTCGAATAATCTAATAGATTATTACAAGTAATTACCAGATTATACCACCTTTTCAACACTAAGCAACCGTGTCTACCACTGAGTCGTTGAAGTAATCCAGTATAATGTTTCTTGTAATTCACTAAATTAGCTTGCGGGATCAACGAAAAAACCACAAAAAATGTGAATAAGTAATGGATCCATCTGAGTTGGACACCAACAAACACAATATGATAAAAAAAAAAAAAAAAAAAAAAAAAAAAAAAAAACGGAAAAAAAAAACAGGGGTGAAAGAAAAAAAAAAAAAAGAAATATAAACACGGTAAAATAAACTAGGGTTGAAGATGGTTTGATTCGATCCTAAATCTTGAACTGTTCTTTATTTTTTTCCTACATGTAGAAAATATAGACCAGACAAGATCATTATATAAGAAAATCAGATCGGATCAGATCATTACATTACGTGGAGGTTCCATTCGGTAAAGACTGTAGTTTGGAGTCTTGATCCTAATTTTTTGGTCAAAATAAGTACCGACTCAAGTGACTCTGTAAACTTTTTTCGGTTTTCTTATATTTTTTATTGTTATTATTATTTTTTTTTTTTCCTGGTCTCTTCAATTGGATGCATAAAAAAAGGAACAATTTTTAGGTGAAATCAAAACAGATTTTGATTAAGTATTTTTTTCCTCCTTTTTGCTAGAATTTTGATAGGTACATGATAGAAAAGTTTTAAGGGAAAAATTTCGTCTTTTGGCATAATTGTCTTTTAGTATTATGTGTTTTTAATAATTTTAAATTGGTACATTGACATTTTTAAAAATTATTTTTTAGTACCTTAAGGTCATTTTTCACGATGTAAAACGTTAAATTTACTATTCTTATTACTTTATCAAAAACTAATAAATTGAGAAAAAATCAGGAAAAAAATATTTTTAATTTAAAGAATTATTTTTGTTTTTAATTTTTAAATGTTTTAAAAAATTTTCATATTTTTTTTAAATTTATTGTTAGTTTTTTGGTTAATTAATCAAAATGGTAACTTTAACGTTTTATATTTCAAAAAATGACCTTAAGGTATAAAAAATAATTTTTTAAAACGTCGATGTATTAATTTAAAATTATTAAAAACACAAAATATTAAAATATAATTATATATACAAGGTACTAATATGAAAATTCTCAAAGTTTAAGTGCTACTTGGTGGGTTAGTTGATTTTGTTGACTAATACTATGTTTACAAGTAATTCTCTAGTCATTTTAGGAAAGAGAGAGGAGAAGTGTTTTGTCTTCTTTAGTTTTTCTCCAAGAAAATAACCTTTCATAAAGGAAAAAAAAGAAATAACACTTTACTTTTAATATAATTAGTCCAAATAAAATGAAAGTCAATACCGGCCCAATCTTTGAATCCCAGCCCAAGAGGATATTCTCTCCTTCTCATAGGATCCTGGCCTAGACAAAGTTACGGTGATGTTTAGTATGAAGATTGTGCGATCGTTATAATATTTTTTTTTTATAAAATATATACATAAATTAAAAATAATTTTAAATATTTTAAATCGAACTAAACGTCCATTTATATTTGATGAAGACCAAGCAGTTAGCTTGGTTTCTTAGATGCTGGACGCGTGGCTAGCAAAACTTGGAGCCCATAAATAGGCTTGTGTCTCACATCCAGCATGGCAGAGAGAAAGGCAAATAGGCCGAAAGAGAAGAATAATGGGAGAAAGAGGAAAATAGGTTAAGATATGAGATGAATTAAAATTAATAGGTCAATAGTTTACATAAGTTAATAAATAGGTTAAATTATTATTTTCATTTATAACTTGTCTGGTTATGAACTATAACTTGACAAGTTATTGTCCATAATTCACAATTTTTGTCCATAACTTGTTTGGCTATGAACCATAACTTGACAAGTTTGTTCATAACTTATTTAGTTATGAACTATAACTTGACAAGTTATGGCCTATTAATTTCTATAACTAAAAATTAGCCTATATACTTTCTTAAGCTTTTCATATTGACCTATTTTCTATTATTTTTCAGGAATAATTAGTCAAGTCTGTGTCTAGACTCTAGCGTGAGAAAAAGTGTGGAAATTAAAAAAAAAAATACTATACCGAGTTTGAAATTGTTCTTATTTTTATTTTTTGTATTTTTTGAGAAAAAAATGAAAAAAATTTTAAAACGGTGTTTGATACAATTAAAGACAAAAAATAAAAATGAAAATAATTTTTTAATTTAGTGTAAAATAGGAAAAATAATTTTTAATCGTTTTTCATTTTTTATTTTGTTTTCTCTTCTCTTAAACAGAGAGAGACATTAATGAGTTTTTTTAATACTGAAAATAATCTATTGATAAAACTACTAAACACATTTTAAAAATAATTTCTTTCTGAAATTAAAAACGTTTTCATTTCTATTTTCATACAAAAAAAAAAAAAAAAAACAAAATCATTGTGTCGTGAAATTTCTGAACTTGATCCTACAGCTTGTATTGTGGAATCCAGAATGAAAAGAATAATCATTCATGGATTAAGATAGAAGTACAGAGGCTTTGTTTCATTTCTATTTTCATACAAAAAAAAACAAAAAAAAAACAAAATCATTGTGCGGTGAAATTTCTGAACTTGATCCTACAGCTTGTATTGTGGAATCCAGAATGAAAAGAATAATCATTCATGGATTAAGATCGAAGTACAGAGGCGTTGTTGCCGCAGTATAAGGTTGGCCAGCTCAACCGTCTCTCATAGATTTTGAAAATCTACTTGCGGACCAAGAAGCATTGGCGAAGCAGATGGATGGAGTCTCCCAAAAAGGTGAGGAAGAAGAAGCACTCTTCAGTAGTAAGAGCAAGGATAAACCTAAACAGAATGTTGGAAAGGGATCAAGTTCCTTTAGCCTATAAATAGGCTTTGTGTTTCTCATATGCAGCACGGCAGAGAGCAAGGCAATAGGCCAAGAGAGAAGAATAATTAGTGAAGTGTGTGTCCAGCGTGAGAGAAAGTGTAGAAATAATAAAAAAAAAAATACTAGAGTTCTTTTTTGGTGTAATATTTTGGGTGTTTTTTTTTTTAGTAATTTAGGGCTTGTTGAGTTACATTTTTGAATTATAATGATTTAAGTATAGATTTTGAGTTGAATTTGAGTTATAATTTAAGTTGAAGTTGTAATTTGAGTTTGTATTTAGTTGTGTACATTTGAGTTATGATTTGAGATGAAATTCTTTTTGAATTTGTGTTTATGTGGGTTAAAACTTGAGTTTGTATTTAGATAATATTTTAATAAAAACTCAATGATGATAGAAAATTTTAATAAGGTATATGGGTGGAGTTTTATTCGTCTTTTTGTTGTAAATGCATAAAAAAAAGAATAATCTCAATCGAAATTAAAACGAAAAAGTTATAGTGTTTCTAAGAATAGAAAAAATATTATTCATTAATTTGAGTTTGAGTTTAGGAACTTGAGTTGCAGAGAAAACTTAAACTCAAACTTTAACCCAAAATTTAAGTTAAAATTCAAGTTAAAGCTCAACCTCAAATTTAAATTTTACAAAAAAAAACATGAATTTAAATAAAATAGTAACTTGTGTTTAATTTTTTTTTTTAAGTTCGGATATAAACGAACAAACACGAATCTTATGTACAAAGTAATTTTAATTCAATAAAAGTACTATTATTAGTGTTCAACATTAAGGAGTTGTTTGGTTCATGGATTCAGAATCATGATTTAGAATCATTCTCGTTTTATGTGTATTTTTTTATGAGAGAAAAATACTGTAGAGAATTATGAATCATGATTCAGAATTATAAACGAATACAAGAAACAAACATCCCCTAAATATCAAACAAGTACTTCTGACGCATGATGCATGATATCACCCTTTGAGATTCGTGGCTGCGCATAGCGGATAACGAAAAAAAAAATTATTAAGGTTGTTTTACTGACATAACATAACGACCTCAACTTCTTTGAACGTAGTTTTCTATTCCGTCTGTCCATATTGCCCCCACGAATATTGGTCGACAAATAAAAGTTGAAAAAGAATCCTAAAACAAAGGATCTGACCAAGCCATTCAGCCAAACATTCATCATTTCCTAAATATGGAGAAAAACCCAAATCCAGTGCTGCAGGGAACATCCTAGAGTCCATCATTTGTGGGCAAAACTCACCATCTCTTCATCTCCGTCTTCTTCTTTCTTTCTCTCTCACATTTCTCAATGTTTTCTATACTTTAAACTCAAAGAACATTGTATCTATTTCTTTTCGTGATATTATAGTACATCATTAGAAATATTGCCTAGGTTGTACCATTGCAAATGTTTTTTTCTAGATTATTCATTGATTAAAACATGGCGATTGATGCAGAGGATATACTAGTTTGTGTATGGAGATTGCTCCGGATTTTCATTGATTCTAGTTACGTCTGTGCACAGAAGCATCCATTTCTTTCATGCATGTTGCTACTCCTCTTCTTCTTTTATGTATTTTTCAATCTCTTGGTTTAC